TGGTGGACAATAAATGATTTAAAAGGAATTAGTCCTTCAATTTGCATGCACAAATACTCATGGAGGAGAGCTACAAACCGAGCATTCCACCACAAAGGTGTTTGAACCCACACATGCAAGAGATAGTGAAAGTTGAGGTAATAAAATCAGTTGATTTATCCTATTTTTTATAGCTCATGGGTAAGTCTAATCCAAGTAGTTCCAAAGAAATGAGGTATGACAGTTGTTATGAATGATCATAATGAATTAATTCCTACTAAGACAATAACTAGTTGGTGTGTTTGCATAGATTATAGGAAATTGAATGATGCCACTGAAGAGGACCATTTTCCTTGACCTTTTATTGACCAAAATTGGAAAGACTTGTTGGACATGCTTTTTATTGTTTTTTAGATGTTTATTCAAGATATCATCAAATTCCTATTGCACCTGAAAACCAAGAGAAAACCACTTTCACTTGTCCTTACGATTGAGAAGTGATGGAAAATTGCCCTTACCAACTTCTATGAAGGTTGTGAGGAGTTGGACATACAGGATTTTATAGGAGATTTATTAAAGATTTTTCTAAAATAGATAAACCTCTTTCTAATCTCTTAGCTAAGGATATTCCTTTTAATTTTGTTATGAATGTTTGCATGCTTTTAACATTTTGAAGGAAAAGCTTATAAATGCACCCATCTTGGTGGCACCAGATTGGGATCTACCTTTTAAGCTTATGTGTGATGCAAGTGATAGTGTTGTGGGAGCTGTTCTAGGATAAAGAAAGAACAAAGTTTTTCAAACCAAATATTATGCTAGTTGTATCTCTTCAGAAACTTAATTGAATTATACAACCACAGAAAAAGAAATTTTGGCGGGAGTGTTTCCCTAAAAATCCTTAGCCAGCCACGTGAGTTTGGATGTTAGGCGTGCCACTTACTTTGTCTAAAAACAAGAAAACAAGATTTTCCAAACGATCACTTCTCATTTCCAATGGTTGACCTCTAATAGAATGGCTAGAAAGAACGCTTGTGAAATAAATTGTGCCCCAGACGATGTTGCAAAACAGAGGGTGGAGTTCTGCAAAATGAGTTACTCATTGCCTTGGAAACCTCCAAGGACTTTACAACCAAAAAAGTGTAATAAAAGCTACAAATCCTAAAATTAACACAAATCCGAAGGCAATTAATCTAACATGAGATCAATAAAAAAAAACAACATACCACAAAAATAAAACTCACAGACAACAGAAAATGTAAAATCATAAACAATGATTTTCACTATGCAATCCATAACAATTAAACTAATTACTTGCAGATTTAAAATCAAAATAACTAAACCACTTGATAACTACAACTGAAGGAGAGTCTATGAAATAATTAAAGTTTGAAAACTTGTAAAATTAAATCTGGAAATTAAAATTGAGTAAACTACAAATCTGACAGTTATGCAAATACAAGGAAAAGAAGACAGAAAGCATTTAACCTATTTAACCTTTTTGGTCCCTCTACTATAGGAAAAAGCCCCTTTTTGGTCCTTGTACCGAAAAAATCCCCTATTTGGTCCTTATTGTTCACAAATTCGACCCCTTTTTGGTCCTTCCGTTAATTTTTGCTCACATGGCACTTTAACTTAACTGGAACAACTGATGTGGATATGCCAACGTATAAAAATTGCTTACGTGGACTTAATGATACCCTCCATGTCACCCTCCCTGTGTGGGAAAAGAAAAAATAAATTAAATGCTAAATTTGATCCCTCAACTTGATAGGTTTGCATTTTTTTGGTCCTCAAATTATTTTTTTCACTTTTTTGATCTTTTAACTTTAAAAATTACACAATTTTGGTTCCTCCGTCAGTTAAGCATGATGTGACAGTTAAATAATTCCATTTGGTATTTTCTTTTAATTTTTTTGATGACATGGCAATTAATATATTATAATTATGTTATATAGATAAATAAAAATGTCGCGTAAATAAATATTTATATTTTAATTAAAAAATAAAATTACATTATTACCCTCCCCTCCCAATCCCTCTTCTTCCCCTTCTTTCTTTCTCTTTCTTTCTTTCGAACCTAGACGTTTCTGACCATCATTCCATCCATTATTCCTCTCTCTTCTTCCCTCCCTCTCTTCCCCCTACCTTAACTATGAGTGGGGTTGCGAGGAACCCAGCAATGAGTCTATCATCTGGGTTCATGACGAACCCAAACAACCTGGGTTCATCACGAACCAAGGAATGGGTACCTAAGGAACCCAAATATGGTTTCTTTGTGAACCAAGGAATAGGTTCCTAAAGAACCTAGGTTCACGAATGGGTTCTTGAGGAACCTATATATGAGTTCTTCACGAATCGAGGAATCCAGATATGGGTTTGTACCAACCCAGGAACTGATTTTGGTCTTCCTTCTTGTTTTTAACTCCTTCCTAGCGTTTTCTCTCAAGATGTCTCTCTAGAGGATGCCTCAAGCATCGGACCACATGAAGAACCACGTTGCACAGAGAATGTCTCAATAGAGACTAAGCGCCTCGCACCAATTGCTAGTGAGTCGCTACTTATTCTACAACTCTTCCTCATCATCATTTAGGTATTTCTCCTTCATCACTAGTTGTCTATCCAGAAGCTCGTCCATGGTCTTCGGTCTATTGTGCAAGAGTCGCCAGAGGGGAACGATGTCGTGCTGGTGAACAAATTTCAGAAGAATTACTAGACTTTGGCAATAGCCTTCCAAGCCTGCGTCTGGGTTTGAAAGAAAGAAAGAGAAAGAAAGAAAGAGAAAGAAAGAAGGGGAAGAAAAGGGATTGGGAGGGGAGGGTAATAATGTAATTTTATTTTTTAATTAAAATATATTTATTTACGCAACATTTTTATTTATCTATATAACATAATTATAAAATATTAATTGCTATGTCATCAAAAAAATTAAAAGAAAATACCAAATGAAATTATTTAACTGTCACATCATGCATAACTGACGGAGGAACTAAAATTGTATAATTTTTAGAGTTAAAAGATCAAAAAAGTGAAAAAAATAATTTGAGGACCAAAAAAATGCAAACCTATCAAGTTGAGGGATCAAATTTAGCATTTAATCTTTTTTTTTTTCTTTTCCTGCGTAGGGAGGGTGACGTGGAGAGTATCATTAAGTCCACGTAAGCATTTTTTACACGTTGGCATATCCACATCAACTATTCCAGTTAAGTTAACATGCCACGTGAGCAAAAATTAACGGAAGGACCAAAAAGAGGTCGGATTTGTGAACAATAAGGATCAAAAAAGGGATTTTTTCGATATAGGGACCAAAAAGGGGCTTTTTCCTATAGTAGAGGGACCAAAAAAGGTATTTAACCTTACATGAACAAATAACATCAATGAATCCATAAGAGAAAGAGGAATTAACCAAATCAATGGGACAAACCCGTTCTCAAGGCTGATCTAGTTCCAAATGCTTAAAAACTAACCTAAGTTGAAATTGTTGAGTAAAGATATGAACAAGAATGGAAAAAACCTAAACTAAAGCTATGAACAAGAACAGATCTTGCAAACTAATTTGGAAACTATGCTGAAATCTATAAAAAGCAGTCTGAAATTTGAAAAACATATGCTCTAGGCAGTGTGTGTAGGGTAGGTCATCTGGAACTGATTTTTTCCTCTTGTTTTTATTTTCTTTGGTGCTGGGAAACCTCCTCCATGTTTCTCGGCCCTCTCCCACCATGAGCGAGTAGTGGGGGTTCCATGTCTGGTAGATATTTGGCAGTTGATAGTTTTTATTCAATCTTATCTCCAATAAAACCCTAGAGATAACCTCCTCCTAAAAACTCTCAACTTCCTACTTTGAATCAACCTCAAACACCATAAATTATTTTATTTTCTGCCACCTAAAATCCAGCTTCTTTAAAATTCCATTTGGACCCTTAAATTGTAATTGAACTTAGCCCAAATCCAGCTTGCTGACTTTTCTTAATAATTGGGCTTCAACTTGACACGTGGCCTTCTCCCATTGGTTTATTTTTAGGTGTAAACAATGCCCCCAACACTTGGTTTTATGGGAATAAATCCAAGTGTTTAAATTTTAAATTACATTTCAAACTCTAAAGGCAACATGCAGAATCTGCTAAATCCTAAGATGATTACAGTAAGTATTCCCAACTTTTTTCACAATTAACTCTATCTAGTTCAGATAGCCTCCTGGGGTTCCAACACCGACACCACATTTGACAATCATTCTACATATCTGCATGTCTTGATGAATCCAGCCTTTACCAATCGCTCAATTTCTTCTTTTACCTTCAAGGTGACCTCTACGGACATGTGACTAGGTGGCTATTTATATGGTCTAAATCCTTTTGCAACTGACAATTTATGTTCCATTAATTTATGATCTAGACCTGGCATTTCTTTGGCTCACCTCTAGACCCAAGATTAATTTCCTCCAACGGGTCTTGAACTTCAGCTTTCAGTTCATCCAATTTGGCTAAGACAAGATCCAACTCCTCCAAAGTTATTTCATCACCTTGGTCTGCCTACTCACCTTCATGAACAATTTCAGACCTATCTACCTATACTGTTTTTTCAGCAAGGCAAGCCGCTAATTTCTTTGTTATCTCTAACATAGCCTTTTCTTTTTCTTTTCTCAGATAAGCTTGCTTCATTAGATTTCTTCAATTTTTAGTTTCCCTTTTAGCCTATAAGGTTTGGCCGAAAAAGTTCATCACAGACTTCCTCTACGACACGCTTAGATAATGGCGGCCTGTTGCATGCTGTTATCCCAATCGGCTTCCCATGTCTATCCATCCCAAAAAACCAAATGGTACCAATGTCTTTTTCATAATATCTAGCCTCCACTAGGTGAGTATTGGCTGAAAAGGGCTTATCATCTACAAACACCACTTCAGCCTTGTCACCATTCTAGAAAAAACAGCTTCTGGTGAAGTGTAAAAGGGACACACCAACTTGAATGAATCCAGTCACACCTCAAAAATGCATTGTAAGTAGCAACAGTGTCCCTCACAAAAAATGCAGACATCAGTGTCTTATTTCTCACTGCTAATTCAATAGGCAGCATGCTCCTTGAATGATTCACCCTCTTATAAAATCACTAATTATAACATCGGTATGCACTAAATCATCAAGAGACTTGCCTATTTCATAAAGCATGTAAGTTGGAAGGACATTGATTGCAGCTCCGTTATCCACCAAGACATAGTTGATTGGAGTCTCATCCATGTGAGCATTGATATAAAGCGACCTAATATGTCTGGCCATCTTTTCTTCTGGTTTTTCAAACGCTATTTTGTTAGCCATGTCCTCCTCTTCATCATCCTGGGCTGGAACCACGATTTTCTTTTCTTCTGTCTGTTTTGGGAACTCATAGACAATTGATCTTTCCTCACTTTTGGCTTAAAAAACTAGGGTAGTGTCAATACCAGACATGACAAATTCACTGAAAATTCCATAAAATGAATAGTGCTATCTTTTTTTGATCCACCTCTAGGATTTTCATACTGTTTCTGTGTTTCAAAAGTTACTTTGAACACTCGATTTGCACCCACAATGACAGATGCCACCTTTGGAGAGGTTGGAGATTGGTCCTCCCCCTCCAATAAAGTCTGGGATGCAGCTTCCTTTTTCTCTTTTCTCATCCACACCATGTTCCTTTTGGCAGGTTGGTGTGGTCTGCGAAATGAACTTTCCTTAGCCTCCACCTGTTTCTGTTGCATTTTCCACTCTTTAACCTTCTTGTGCTGCAGTCTGCGCCTCAAGGTTCTAGGATTTTGGGTTGGAAACTCTAGATGACTGACTTTCTCCCATCGCTTGGAAGGTGACCTAAGTGGTGGTTTAACCATCCTTGGAGATCTAGTACCAGCTAAGTGAGGTCTGGTACTTTCTACGTTGAAGTTCCTGGTCACAATGATCCTTCCTTGCTCCTTGAGTCTCTGCCGGTCTGACCTGATGCTCCTATTATGTCTGGATCTTTGCGCTTCAATAAACCACCTCAGGTCTTCATCAGCAAGGTTTCTTTGAGCATAAAACAAACTACGATTTTTGGCAACACTCCTCAAGTCTACAACATTCATACCAACAGACACAACTAGAAAAGGATTCACATCTACTCCCATGGTTTCCTTTGCCTTGTTTGGAAATTTTAGGCTGCCTTTATCAATCTTTTCCAATGGCCTCAAGGCTGGCCCATAAGTCTTTTGTGCCAGATCTATTAGTTGATCTTTATTGAATAGTTGAGCTAGTTGATTCTACAGACCGCGTTGTAACGGCTAGGCTAATGGAACTTGTGGTTGGAAGAAATTCCTTGGATGAGGTTGATGGTAAGGACCAACATTTTCCCTCCTAGTTGGCAGAATATACCTGTGCTGAGGTTGATGGCCATGGTCTGCAACAGGAGCAACAACCTCCATTGGTTCATGCTGTCTTTGCCCTTCACTAATGAAGAAATTTTACTATTGAACGTTGGGATGAGGCTGATTCCCTTGCACCTCGAGTGCTAGGATCGGTGCTTCATGAATCTGTCTAGGCATTTCCATGGCTGGATGAGGGACCTCAGGTTTGGGCTGTCGCACTTGCTCAACTACTTGTTTTGAAATAGCTTGTAGTGTTCTATGACTTTCATCTCCAGTTTCATGCATCACCTTAGTGCCTTTTTCAAAAATCTGTCTAAGTTCAACCATATATTGTCTCATCGCCTCATCATGCTGTCTAGAAAATTTTGCTTGACTCTCAACAATTTTCTAAATATCTTCGGCCCGCTCTCTGCATGATATCTCAAAACGTTCAGTTAAATTTCTAATTATGTTACATGACTTCGCAAATCCATCTTTGCGGTCTGCATCCCTTTCTTTGAAAATTGGCTTGCCTTAAGATTGTTCCATGAAGGGTGACGAGAAAGGAGGAACAATTGGATCATTCTCACCCTCCGAGTAGACTGGACTGTCATCTGCATGTTCAACTTGGGTTGGCTGAACCTCCTTATCTTTGCTCTTTCTCAGTGGCATGGCTCTAAAGGCCTTCGGATGTATAAATAGAGGATTTGTGAACCTTAACTGATACACCCTGTTGGTAGTCCCACTAGGCGTGCCAACAAAGGATTGTTTCCCCAAAAATCCTTAGCCAGCCTTGACCACATGAGTTTGGATGTTAGGCGTGCCACTTGCTTTGTCTAAAAACAAGAAAACAAGATTTTCCAAATGACCCCTTCTCTTTTCCAACGGTCGATCTCCAATAGGATGGTTGGAAAGAACATCTGTTAAATAAATTATGCCCCAGACAATGTTGTAAAACAGAAGGTAGAGTTCTACAAAAAAGTGTTACTAATTGCCATGGAAACCTCCAAGGACTTTACAACCACAAAAGTGTAATAAAAGCTACAAATCCTAAAATTAACATAAAATCCAAAGGCAATTAATCTAACATGAGATCAATAAAAGAAAACAACATGCCACAAAAATAAAACTCGCAGACAACGAGTTCCATTATGCAATCCATAACAATTAAACTAATTACTTGTAGATTTAAAATAAAAATAACTAAACTACTTGATAACTATAATTGAAGGGGAATCTATGAAATAATTAAAGTCTGGAAACTTGTAAAATTAAATCTGAAAATTGAAATTGAGTAAACTGCAGGTTTGACAGTTATGCAAATACAAGGAAAAGAAGACAGAAAGCATTTAACCTATTTACATGAACAAATAACATAGATGAATCCATAAGAGAAAGAGGAACTAACCAAATCAATGGGACAGACTTATTCTCAAGGCTGATTTGGTTCCAAATGCTTAAAAACTAATCTAAGTTGAAAATTTTGAGGAAAGATATGAACAAGAATGGAAAAAACCCAAACTAAAGCTATGAACAAGAACATATCTTGCAAACAAATCTGGAAACTATGCTGGAATATGGAAAAAGTAGTTTGAAAGTTGAAAAACATATGCCTAGGTAGTGTGTGTAGGGCAGGCTGTTTGGAATTGATTTTTTCCTCTTGCTTTTATTTTCTTTGGTGCTGGGAAACCTCTTTCATGTTTCTCGGCCCTTTCCCACCATGATTGAGTAGTGGGGGTTCCATGTTTGGCAGATGTCTGGTAGTTGATAGTTTTTATTCATTCTTATCTCCAATAAAACCCTAGAGATAACCTCCTCCTAAAAACTTTCAACTTCATACTTTAAATCAACCTCATACTTTAAATCAACCTCAAACACCATAAATTATTTTATCTTCTGCCACCTAAAATCTAGCTTCTTTAAAATTTTGTCTACGCCCTTAAATTGTAATCTAGCCCAGCCCAAATCCAACCTTCTGACTTTTCTTGATAATTGAGTTTCAACTTGACACATGGCCTTCTCTCATTGGTTTATTTTTTGGTGTAAACAGGTAGTATTTGTTTTTGATAAATTTCATTCTTATTTTATTGCTAACAAAGTTGTTGTTTATATTGATCATTCTACTCTTAAGTATTTGTTTGTAAAGAAGGATGCAAAACCAAGGTTAATTAGATGGATTTTACTATTACAAGAATTTGACCTAAAGATAAAAGACAAGAAGAGGATTGAAAATTCAGTTGCTAATCATTTTTCAAGGTTTAAGAATCATAGCCAAAAGGTAAAGGCATGCCTGATTAAGGAAGAATTTCCAGATGAGCAACTTTTCACTATTAAGGTGATGTCTTCTCCTTAGTTTGTTGATTTTGTTAATTATTTGGCATGTAACATTCTTCCTCCTGACTTATTTTATCAACTAAAGAAGAAATTCTTTTTTAATGTGAAAAATTATTTTTTAAAAGAACCCTTCTTGTGTAGATTATGTGTAGATCAAATCATTAGGAGATGTGTTCCTAAAGAGGGGGTAGCTAGTATACTTCATCATTGCTATACTCGAGAAGCTAGCGGCCATTTTGGGGCCACCAAAATTGCAACTAAAGTTCTACAATCAAATTTTTTCCAAGAAAATTAAGATCCATATGGTCAAGTCGTTTCATGGTGATAAGAATTTTTCTTTATAGTGTGGTGGAGTATCTCATGACACAAAAGGCACGTTTAAAGTGAATGGTCAATTGTTGAAACCCTACATAAATGGTGGATGCAACAAGCATGTGATGACCATTGAGTTACATAATCCAACTTGATCATCCAATAACAATCAAGTTATTGACTATAAATAAGCACTTCTTGGGAGGCAACCCAAGCATTAAATTTTAGTTTATTTTTCTATTATTATTATTATTATTATTATTGCTTTTATTTTGATAATATAAATTTCATTATTTAATTTGTTTTCCTACATGACCTAGGTTAATGCATAAGTAGGGAGGATATTCAAAAGTCACTAAGATTAGAGGCACTTTAACTCAAGTTTCAAATTCAAATTTTCAACTGCTTATCTGGGGAAGTTTTTCTTCTACTTTACTTATAATGCATTGAAAACAATGATACTTTAAGTTTGGGGTTGACAATTATTGGCTATTCAATATTTCTATGCTGTTTGCTTGATTTTGCTTTTAATGTTGTTGATTTAATTTAAAAAGGAAATTCCTTGCTACTAAAATATGGTGATAAAATTCTTATTCTATATGTGATGATGTTGTGTCAATTGTCATGCCCTACTTGCTCATATTGTTGTTTTAGAAATGAAATTGAGGGGGTTTGGGTTAAAATATTGAAATGCACACTATTTGGATGTATGCTAACTATTCATTGAAAAAGAAATGGAAAATCAAAGTTCCCTTTCCATATTGATGCCCATGATATGCATCATTGTTATTCTTAGTAGAGGAAGTTCTAATTGCTTATCAAGTCTACAACTTGTTTGTGGTTTTCATGTAGGCTTAGTGAAGAGTGAATTTTAATTTGATGGTTCATGCATGTTTCATACGTTGTGGTTTTCATACATTTGCCATATCTTTAAATTTGGGGTGAATTTTGATTTGATCAATTGAGTATTTTGGCCTATAAATTGTTGTTCTTTAATTTTGGTTAGGTCATTGAACAAGTTTGTGGACAAGATTATGAAAATTTACATACGAGAAGTCTCCATTGATCAAAGACAACTCAACTTCAAAACTCAAATTTTAAATTTTCAAGTGCAGAACCAAAGAAGTTTCTTTTTTCTTTTACTTTTATTTTACATTGAGGCTAATGTTTGATTTAAGTTTGAGGGAGAGAATAACTTTTAGGTGTCCATTCGTACATTAGTTTGCATATTTGCATGACATACATTTTCTTTTTTAAGAGTTGGTCCAATTAGTATCAAGGAATTGACAATTCTTGAGTTGGAAATTCAAAAACTTTTAAAATTTTTGAATCTTAGAGGAAATACAAAATCTGAAAAATAGTCATTGTGATGAAATTTAAGTTCATGAGTAATATATTTGACTTTAGCACAAGTTTGTAGTGAGACATTTAGAAAAAAGACTTAGTAGCACCTAAAAAGCACATAAAGAAAAAGAATAAAATAAATAAAAAGAATAAAAAGAAGAAGAAAAAGAAGCCAACACATAAAAGAGTCTATTAATTTCTACTACAATGTTTCTAGTTGCTTAATAACTACGGGTTAGGCATAAGACCCATGTTAGCTTTCATGTCAAACAATGACTTGAAATATGAGTATGCAAATCACTCTGAGTTTATGACTTGTTGAGTAACTGGGTTCTTTCATCACAAATGTTAGTATTTGTGTCAAAAGACAAGTGATAGCTTTGGGGAAAATGTGTTGTATGGCTTGAAAAAAAAAAAAGGAAGTCAAATGTTTCGTGGCTTTTGTTACTTGAGTAAGTATGTTCTTAGGGGTGTCTTTTTACCTAATGCCCTAAAACCAACTGGTTTGGGAATCATTGGTAGAAGACTTGTTACATGGGTAACTTAGGAAGCTTAAGGGAACTCAACTCAAAGAGAAAATAATAATAATAATAAGTGCTAAAGTGTGAAGGTCTAAATTCGAAAACTTCTCCTTATGAATTTCCACACACATACTAAGTGCTCGTGAGCTAAATCTTTTGACAAGTGGTGTGAAGAATAGGATGGAGTATTTGACTTTACGTGAGTGTATGAGAACTCTTGAATATTTGAGACTTTGTATTTAATTGAAGTTTAATTCCTAAAGTTTCTTTGCATGCATATCATATAGTTGCATTCTTGCATTGGGATTCTGTGGAGAGATCCATTGAAAACCCTCATCAGACACAACTCGTTCACTAGGGTGACCTAGGGGTTTAAAGACTTGATGTACATGCTAAGTGCAATCATGATTCCTATAAAAGTGTGTTAGGTTTTATTTTTGTTTATTTTATTTTATTTTTATTTTGCTTGAGGACAAGCAAAACTTAAGTTTGGGGGGAATTTGATAAGCCTAAATTTTATACAATTTTTACATGGCTTTTTAGGCATGAGTTGGAGTCTTTTATGTTTTGTTGGAGTGATTTTATTTGGTTTTACATCATTTTCATCATTCTTTGTAGGTGGAGGGTAAATTGAAGAAATCAAGAGTAAACGGGTTGAAATGACAAAAGTTGAAAAGATGAAGTCTGACCTTATAATTTCTCCCTTTGATGACCAAAACTTGAATTGACGTTTTTTTTCTTTTCTATACACGTGTTGTGCACAACAGTGGACATGTGGGCTTTCAAAATGAACTGGCATTTTAATAAGGGCACACGATTAGAGATATAAAAAGCACAAAGAGTCGGTGGAGTTAGAAGAGGTAGTCGACAAATAACAAGGGCACTTTGGAGGCAGACCAAAGCCAGATCTTTGTGTCGGTGATGGCAGAAACAAAGGCAGCTGCTAAGGAGATTTTAGTCAACGGGAGGAAGATCACACCAGTGAAGAGTACAAAATTCATTCAAGTGTACCAAAAATTGGGTTTTACTCTCCTACGCTTTACTTTTCCTTTGTTTAGATATGGAATTGTGGTTCATCAATTTAATTTTAGATTTTGTCATGATTATATGAACTAATTTAGTCATCTAAGGCTACAATGTAGCATAGTTAATTT